CATAGAATGCCCTTCTTTGTCAGCAGATGCCAATTCCCAGTGCCCTGGATTTGATACTATATTAGCCATTGTTGATGCAGCCAATTCTTTCAGTTCGGGCGAAGTATCCTGGTTTTTGAAAAGGACATCTGTAAGAGCGGGAAGTACAGCAGAATCTACAAGGATAGTCGCATTGTCATCGAGACCTGACAAGTTGTACAGTGCTTGCAAGCTTGCTGCTCTTCCTTCTGGCTTAGATAGCATCTGAATTAGTATTTTCGCACCCTGCCTAGCTATTTGTTCCTTGCTGCTATTTGTCAAGGTCATACTTCCCACCATAAATGCCATTTCAATTTTGACATCGTCAGAACCTGTTGACAAAAAGACTTTAGATTCCATAATAACATGTGAATGAAAATCACACCATACACTGTGCAGTCTATAGGGAAAAAAAAGGATGGATCTCTCCAGCTCTCCTGTTCTGATTCCATTTTTGTACAATAAACTTGCAAAATTGATTTTTTATATGTAATCCATGACAATGTAATGATTTTCAGAAGGACATGTAAAAGCTAAAAGAAGGCATACCTTCACAAAGTCGAGTAAGCAAGGGTTCAAACCTCCCCGCCGCAGCTAAATACTGAACATTATCCTCCACCTTTTCCATCTGCTTCAATACCTTGTCGGCTAGATTGGATAAACCAGGATGCTCTAGGTTTCCTGCCATGCTTGAGAGAAGAACCAGCGCACCTTTTTCTGTTGCAATTTTAATGCAACAAGCTTTGTCACTAGAGAACTCAAGTAACAATTTCACAGCATACTCTTTCTCTTTCTCTGAGCTCCCGATAAGACTATGTATGGCCAATCTAGTGATACCCTCTTGAAGCATGATGTTCTAGTAATGTTTAACACATTCTATCAGAAACTTGTCAAAATGTATGACACACCACAAGATCCTACTAGATACAAAAATCAAATGCAAAAAGCTATATACAATGACGAGAAACTGTGATTAGGCATAGTGGAGCAAAAACTTCAGCATGAAAGAGTACACCATGATTTAAAGAAAAGCATCTCAAGGATTAAAATCACCACAAAAATTTGTTCTTTTGGTTCCTTCTACCTTCCCCTTCTCAGCCCACTAATTATTATTCACTTAGAAACAATCTTAAGCTACTTTATTGTGCACATATCGATGACTATAATCAATAAGAACTGGTTTGGGTCTTGAAATTCATACAAGCGCCAAAAAACTCGAGAAAGTGAAGTACAAAAAACCCACCTTGCTTTCTTCATCCTTGGCCATGCTAAGCAAAGCCATGAGAGCTTTGCTTCTCAAATGTGTCCCAATACTCTTGGAACTGTTTCTGAGCATCTTAACAATGAGCACAAGAACCCCAGCATTCCTAACTTTATACCTACAACTGGGGTATTCCTCTGAGATATTATACACATTATCCAACACTCCCTCCAAACAATCCACCACAGGAGGCTCTTTGCTAAGATGTTGAACTGAAATCTTCACCAGAATCTCAACATTCCTGTTGACCCACTCCTCAATAGCCCCAGCAAGTCCAATGTTCGGCTTCATCTCCAGTGACCCGAGAACTTCACCTGTGACCGGGCAAGTCGGGTCTCGACCGTCCTCCAGACACCGCTCGAACCAGTAGTTAATGGCGGTCCGCTCGTAAGTCTGCGACGATTGGAGCACCACTGGGTACCTCATCACCTCCTTCGTCAACGGACACAGAAAATTCTTAAACGGCGAAATGTGAACGTCGTCGTCTTCGAACTCCATCCCGGCTTTCCAAGCCGAGATATTGGGCCGTATGGCCCAGTTATCTACAATCCTCTCCAACGACACCAGAATCCGTCGTTCCGACACCGAATTGGACCCGGCGACGTCGTTTTTGAGAAGCCTGATCTGTTTGGATAGCTCGTCGTGATTCTCAGGGTCGATGCCGAGCGCTCGAGCCAAGTCCATGATTATCGCGCTCTCCACTGCTTTGCTCGTCTTCGATTGAGTCGTTCGTCCTTCTTTCTGTAGTGTATGATGAACTCTTTCTTCCCTCTCCGTAACCTAGAAAATCAAAATCCCCAATTTCAAAATAAAATTCAGAATAATTGAATCAAACTCAAAGACGAATTGACTTCACTTACTTTGAAGTGAGCTTGCTTCATATCTCTGGAGAGATCGGCGATCTTCTTGCGAAGATCGGGGAGGTTCAGGTCCTGAATGGCGAGGTCGAGGAGGGCGAGCCATCCGGATACGGCGACAGTACGGTCTGCGAGGGAATCGCAGAGGGAGAGGCAGTTGATGAGGACGGAGATCTTCCCCTTGGTTCTGTAAAACGACAGCGTTTCGAGCGCGGCGGCGAGGTCGGCGGCGATTCCTTTGAGGGCGGTGTGCACGGAGGGAGGGAGGGCGTCGAGGGATGACGTGGCGCGGGTGAGGTGAGTGAGTGACAGCTGGAGGCGGTTAGCGAAGCCGGAGAAGCGACGAGGAAGGTCAAAGGGAGATTGGTGGTAGTGAGGGGCGCAGAGGTCGGCGAGCGAGGTGTGGATTGAGTCTAGCGCCGATGAGACGGAGGAGGAATACGACGACGATGACGTCATTGCATTGCCGCGTTCGCAGTTCTGGTTGGGGAAATAGGAGCCAAAGTCAAACTCTGAGTGTTGAATTTAATGGAGACTCACACACTTCGCTGTCTTCAAGCTTCAAGCTTCAGATTCCAATCCGACGGTTTTTTATGTTTAATTTTCTTCTGTTTTACATTTTGAGCCACCATTCGCAGAATTTTAGTTGAAGTTTCAACGACCAAGAAGAGAGAACGAGGCGCCAAAAACCGAAAAGGGAAGGATTGGGAAGTAACAGTTGTATTTACTTTTTGTTTTTCAATACGCGGGATGCTAGCAATCTTTCCTCTGACCTTCTTTTTTAAACCTTCTCCCTTTTTTATTTGACATGTGTCATTCTTCTTATAATTAAAACAATGTCATTAATATATTATGCAAGCTAACCTTTGTTTTTCAAGTTTACCCTTATTAAATGTATTCAATTTATCCAAAAAAAAATCATAACTTTCTTTCCATCTTATTAATTATTTTTTTAACGTCAATTTTTTTCATTTAAGAAAATATCTGCTTTTAAAAAAAGAGAAAATGTCCCTTTTTTTTTAAAGTCAAGTTTAGACTTTTTTATTTTTTTTTTATTTTTAAATTTCCTCTTTTTTTTAAAAGCAAACATTTTCTTTAAAAAAATAATTGATGTTAAAAGAAATTTAATAAGATTGTAAGAAAGTTGTGAAATTTTTTTGGGTAAATTGAATACATTTAATAAGGGTAAACTTAGAAAGCAAAAGTTAGTTTGTATAATATATTAATGACATTGTTTTAAGTGTAAGGAGAATGACACATGTCATGAAAAAAATGGAGAAGGTCCAAAGAAGAAAGTTAGAGAGAAAATTGCTAGCATTCCCCTTTCAATATTGGTATATTAAGTTGGTTACCACATCTATCAAAATCAGTGATAATAACATGGTACGGCGTCAAGTCTAACCGAGGAAAACATGAGTTTATCTTGCGAATGAGTGGTCTTAAGTTCAAATTCTTATAGCACTTTAATAGTGTATGTAGAAAAATCATCTTTTTGCCCTAAGACTTCACTGTTTAGATTTATGTATGTCAAATTTTGTAAATGACATAAATTGCAAATTTTTGGTTTGGATAGCTCATGTAAATTGTAATGACAAAAATTAAATATTTCAAAAAATCAATTTCTAACTCATAACTCACATTTCTGTCAAAAGAAAAAAAAAACTGATAATAGACATAGAAGGTATTCCACGAAGTAGAAAATAATATATTATTTGATGAACTACATAAGTCAACTTATTGAAAAATAAAAAAACAAAGCATGTTATCGGTCTAAAAAATAAGAGGATATTAGCAAACCAAATCACTCCCCACATGCAATAAACATCACCAACATACTTTTTTTTTTTCTCAATTGGGAGTGCCTTCAGCATTTGATTTGATGTAGAGGACGTATAACTCAAGAAGAACTCTTTTCACAATTTTTTATGCGCGTCATTTAATAAATTTAGCACTTAAGTTGCCAAACAAGGGAATTGTCAATTTCTCATTTTAAATTCCCGACTTTTAACTAAATTTTAAGTTATTTTTCCTCATCCAAACCGAAGATTGTAATTTAGACTATCGTTTGTATTATACAAAACGTGTAACGAGGAAATAACCACATAATATTACAAATCAATAATAACATCCATACATATTATAATACAAAAATTACTCAACAATATTATCTATATAAGAAATTGGTCAATGGTCTACTTATATTCTCTCTTCATTTTATTGAAGAAGATTCTAATTCCAAGCATTGTTTTTTTATTGAATAACAAAAAGGGCTAAGAATTCTTAAATTGTTGTTAAAAATATTTGAATTGTACTTGATTCTTGTAGCTCAAATGATTAAGAACAGTTATCATTTAATTTGAATTCCTTCCTTCACTTTACCCTTCCTCTAATATTGCTTTTATATATTAAAAAATTAGTTTGCTTAATGTTAATGCAAACCCGTGCATGGTATATAGGGGATAATTACACTGCATCTCATCTTCCATTGACCATATCCACATTGGTAGTTACATTTCTTTAGTTTTTGGTATACTTGTAAATGTGTTTTGACTAATCAAAGCAAATTTCATTTTCTTGAAATGTCAACCCAAAGTGGCTAGAGAAAATTGGGTGCCTAGAGATAATTTGTGGGTACCCATAGAATGACTATCGTTAATTTACCCCATATTTCCATGCGTGTATTAGTTCTGGGCCAGAAGCCCAAAATTATTGGGCTCCCCAGAATGGTCTGAGCCCAAATTATCCCAACCAACCAGTCGAGTCAAAGTAAAAGACTACAACAGGAGAATAACCATTTTCGTCTCCAACGCACACACACACACGCACACTCTCTCTCCGTCGTCCGTACTCTGTAAACTCTCGCAATGGATCGCGCACAGATTCTTCTGCTAGGGTTACCCCTCTTCCTCTTCTGCACCGACCTCCTAAACCTTTTCGCTCCATCTCCACCTCCGCCCCATAAGCCTCCCCACCATCACCATCACCATCACCACCTTCAACACCAACCATCACCAGTTGCCAAAGAAAACCTAGACTTCCCCTCACAGGTACTTCAAACTAATTTTCTGTTTACAAAATTGATACCCTTTTTTCTTCATGCTCTGATTTGATTTTTATTGAATTTCAGAAACCAAGCGCTGTTGGACTCGGAGCCGGCAGCACAGTCAAGATTAGTTTCTGCACCTCTTGCTCTTACAAGTACTTGTCTTACTTCTTTTCTGCCTTTCTCGCATTGGGTCTTTCATTTTATGTCAAATTATTATATTCACCTGCTTCATAGAATTTGGCATGTATATATTGTGTTTATGATGTGAGATGATAAAAGATCAATTTGAACAGCTATTAGAAATTGGAATGTTATTCTGATCCTGGGCTTTGTCCTCCAACCCATTAAATGCTCTTGATTTATCTGTTAGCTCCCAATTTGTGTTCCAAAAGAGATATGTGATGTGCTACTTGGTTTGCCATTCACATGTTAGATTGAATCATGGGGAAAAAAAAAATTTGAGCTATGTTTACTTATGAGTAGAGTTTGGTTTTGGTAGGGGGAATGCAGTAACAATAACGAAGATGTTGGAGTCTTCTTTTCCTGGAATTCATGTCGTTCTTTCGAATCACCCCCCACCCCTTCCAAAGCGTGTGCTCAGCAAGTTGGTTCCCGTTGCTCAAGTTGGAGTTTTTGGGATAGTAATGGCGGGCGAGCACATTTTTCCAATGTTGGGGATTATGACACCCCCTCCTTGGTATTACTCTCTGCGTGCAAATAGATTTGGGACCATCGCATCCACTTGGCTTCTTGGCAATGCGTTGCAGTCCTTCCTCCAAGGCACTGGTGCTTTTGAAGTTTTCCTCAACGATGAATTGGTGGGTGAACCCTTTTCGTTTGTTTTGCCATATGTGTGCTTTGAACTAGAATTTCATTGCTATTCAGTTATTTTGTTTGGTGAATACATGTGTTGGCCTTTTCAATAATGCTTTTCTTTAATGATGCATATGATTGACTGTAGCTTCTGTGCTCTTGTATATTTCAGGTTTTCTCTAAGCTGAAGGAGGGAAGATTCCCAGGTGAGATTGAACTAAGGGATGACATTGCCGCGAAGTTGGGTAGTTCAAGAGTCACAGATGGCCTTGGAGCTGCAGCTTTATGGTCCTAGTCTTTCAGTTGGGTTCGGAAAGTCTGAATCCTTGCAGTTGGAGTTGTAATCTTGCATAAGTTCAAGACTTCAAGCTGGTTGCGTAGTAGGTTCAAGGCTTCAAGCTGGGTGGTGCCATGACTTGTTACCTCTCATACAAAGTACAAACCTCAATAGAATGTTTTGCCGATAGGTTGTGCCTATGATAATCCTATTCTGCATATTAACCGAGACAGGCTGAAACTTGTTAGGCAATTTCGTTTGATGGAACATAATTCCCGTATTTACTCAAAATTGGGATTGTACACTGGTTTTAATTTTCCATTTTGCATGTATTTATTTTACCACAGACCCAAAAACTCCAATATGAACAAGCGCTAGTTTTGTTCTTGAAATTGGAACTGCTCGGTTGGAACTTGTGCGTGCATTTGCAATTTGCTTGGGTTTGTGTATTTTAACGAAATTTTGAACCTTCTTGTATGTTCGGATTAAAAAGAAGAAGAAGAATTTGAACATAACTTGGTCAGGAATGTAACATGCTATACGTTTCTTTAAAACTTCTGATAAGAAATAATGTCCAGCGTTAGAAATCAAGTGTAAGAGCTCAAGTCACCATATAAAATGGCCACAATATGTCATGTAAACCACTTATTCAATCACTAAAATGCATGTACAGAAATTTGGTCCTAGACATGACCATAGTCAAAGTAACATGTAGGTCACCAAGTAATACCCCGAAACTCTAGTTTACATAATGACATGGCACTCATATCATTTTCCACATCATGTATTGTAGTTTATTCTTTTTTTTTCTTTTTTCTTTTTTTTCCCCCATGGAAGTGGTTCAACCGCCACTCCTGCCATCAATCACCCATTGAATCCAACCTTCACCATCACAGCACTCGCAGCCACATGATCAGTGCCACCGCAGTTCGGTCATTGCTACGGTGCCACCAGAATCACCTAGTAGCATTGTCCATCCTACTAAGTATCTTGCTTTCCGTGTCGAATCTAGATTCTGGTTATATCACGCCCGAACACAAAAGTTGTAGCCCAGTTAATCGCCACATAGAATCTATTCCTCCAGCTCAAGACTCGTGTTAAATATGCCGAGCGCCATATAAACCAACTGGTGAATCCAGCCAGAGCTAAGCCTTTTCCTTCCTGAAAATAGATATGCTACACAGGTCAGCTATCTTAACTTAAAGCTCAAGAGAGTGGGCTTAGAAGTGGCTTGAAATTCACCTTGCCCTGTCTGAGGTCGACGAGAGCCTTGTATCTCCCAAGAGTTGCCATGCTTCCTAAATGCTTGTACACGAATGGATCCTCGTATTTATATTCTTTTGCACCGTTGGCACGTCCTCCACCAGCTTTACCAATTTTGTTCAACAAATTCGCCAGATACTTTCCTTGCCTCTCTGCAACCTTCAAATATTTGAAATAGATATGCATAAAGGTCTAGTACCACACCAGTAACACTATATCACCAGTATTCACCCCTTAACAATAGACTGTAAAATCTGAAATCACTTTTTAAGAGAAAAGAACTAAATTCAACTTACTACCATGATTCAAAGCCTATGGACTTTCACATGCATGGGGATCTACAGGTCTACAACTACTCTCTTTACTACATACGTTATTCTTCAAACAATTCCTAACCTGGGCCAAGGCTGGAAGGGTTGGTTTTCCAGTACTTTCAACAAAACCGCTACAATCACCAATTGAATACACATCCTGGACAGAAGGAACCCGCAGCCACTCGTCAACGCCAACCCTGAAATCAGAGAAACTCTAATATGATATGCCATTTCAAACGCATGCTTAACAATTTGGGTAGTGAAAAGAGGGAGCAAGTGGAAACATGTACCAAAAGCATATTGAAACCTTATGATTGACAAAGCAAAAGGCCATTGATGGCAAACAAATATATCAAATGGAATTTTTTTAAACAGGGGATAGAAGAAGTTAAATGTTAAAAGTTCAACAGAAGGTACCAAAGTTTATGAAAATTTGTAAGGTCTGAAGATGAAAATCAGAAGAATCACCACAAGGTTAGATTCGTGAGAAACTTCTGTAGTTGAGAAGAGGAAGAAATCCATTTTGATAAAAGCAAATAAGGTATTACCTTCCACCAGGAGCTTTTGCAAGTGGCAAGGAGTTCACCAAAGGTGATGGACCAACACCGGTAGACCATACCAGCAGCCCATAAGGAACCTCGGTGCCATCATTAAGAATTATCTTCTGAGCTTTGACATCCTTGACGATCCCACGGACAAGACGAACTCCTGACTGAGAGAAACAATCAAATGAACCATGAACATTCCAGAGATTCAATGGGAAATTAACTTTAGCAGTCATTCCAATACCATGGATTAGCATTTAAAGTTGCCATAACATAAGATCAATGCTTAAAAATTAGGGCTTATCCCCCAAAAAACTGAAATCTTTGGTCCACCTGTAGTAGGGAGAAGATACCAACACAAACAGTAGAAACTGGGCTTCTGGGCTTCAATTTTGTTCTCACTAATTACTAGAAAGACATTTTTACACATCTAAAGGCAGACCATACATTCCAGTACGAGAATAGGCAGGCACTATGAAAAACTAGAACAAGCGTAATAACAGCCAATAGGTTCTTTTATGAATAAAATATCTCTTACCTTTGTCAGCTGTTTTGTAGCATAGTGCCGCAAGCGATCATCAAATGATGATAATATCTCATTTGCCTGTGAAGACAAGAACACTACTCAATTTCCATACTTTCTTTCAAAAAGATTTGGTAAGGCTGAAATGGTAATCTACTTTCCTGTTACAATAAACAGTTGACAGCTCCTCTTTAAAAAAAATATATATACAATTGACGGCTTTTAAGTTTTTGCATGGACTGCATTATATCTAATTATTTTGTAAAAGTATTTAACAAGGTTGAATCCCATGGCGAAGATTTAATGGACAAACCTCAATCAAGGTAACATGAATATAATTTTTCACATGGGAATATCTTTGTCGAACATCTCTCTGAATGAAGTCACTAAGTTCACCACTAAACTCAACTCCCGTGGGACCACCTCCTACCACAACACAGTGTAGGAGTCTGCTTTTCTCTTCCTCAGAAACACCTGCCCCCAGCCAAAAATCCATGAGTGAAATATACAACGAGAGCTCACATCTTAAATTTAAAATCTAACTGCAGTACATACCAGGAACATCCGACAGCATCAAGTTTAGGAGCAGCTTCCTGCGGATTTCCTGGGCATGGTAGACTTCACGAAGAAAAATTGCATGTTCTTCTACACCCTGTATTCCAAAAGTGGTTGGCTTTGCTCCCAATGCAATTACCAACTTGTCGTATGAAATTTCAAATTTCCATGGCTTCAAGGGTTCTGCTCCATCAGTCACAGTCTCGCATTGCACCTTCATTTCCCAAAACCAAAATTTCTTGCATTGTAAAATCCAAATAATCTCCAAGATTTTGAATATTTTATCCACCAATAATAGGCTAGTCTTGTAACTCTATATGCATCACAGTGTAGCACTTTCCCACTAACATACATTCTTCGAGTCTTCACCTAGACATAATCTTCGAATCAAATAATTTGTTAAAACTTAAAACTAAGACACTTTCAGCTGAAAATCATACTTCCCCAAAGATTTACAATACATAAACTAAATAATTCATATTTTCCATTCCGGAAAAGCGAAACTTTAATTAAATAACAATTACCCATGTCATGCTTTAATCAAAAGATTCAAACTTTACCCAAAAAGTCACTAAATCTAGAGATACCCAATTCACTATTCACAAACATATTTTCCATGAAAACCTAAAACCCCAAAAAGCACAAGACCTACCAAATGCTTATCAGGATCGAGGCCAACACAATTAGAAAGAAAGAAATACGACCCGGGTTCGCGAGATATTGCGGGTTGGATCCTCCCGATTGGCTCCGCGACGGACCTAAACTCCAGAGTCCCAACGCAGGTGGACGCCAACAGAGGCGTGAAGACCATATGGTTCCTAGGCGACACGCAAACGACGTCGTATGTATCGGTGTCCAAGCCTTTCATGAGCCGGCACCCGGCCCAACCCGTGCCCAAGACCACCACCCGCGGCTTCTCGCCAGGCTTCGTGGGGCCCAGACCTGAGTACTGTGTCGGCGGCTGAGGAGCCGGAGTCTCATGGATCGGAGCCGGCTCCGAGCTGAAGCGCGAGAGCAGAGTGTAAGAAAATGGGTCTGAAATTCTGGGTTTGGTCGCTGATCTGGCGGTGGCTGAGACTTGGATGAGGCTTCTGAACCAAGCCATAGTGTACTGGCGGATTACGGCGTCGTTTAGTGAAATGAGTATTGGGAGCAGAGAGTGATCTGCAGCACATATATGTGAAGCTTGAAGAAGGAGAAGAAGCTTCCAACAATATCGGGTGTCGTTTTCTGCTGCTGTGCTAAATTTGTGGCAGAGTGTTTACAGCTTGTACACGTGGTAGTTTCCACGTGTTACACCTGTCGACACGAAGCATTTGCTTGGGCAAAACGTTTCGGATGGCTTAATTCTATTGGTCCCGTTCCTAAGAGCATCTCCACCCACAAGGGCTAAGTCTAAGGCAAGGGCAAGCAAGGGCTGCCACTATTCACGTGAATAGTGTCAGCCTTTGCATTTGTGGTTCCACCCATGAGGACAAAGTCTAGGGCAAGTCTAAGGCAATTACTATTCATTGTACTTTATTTCCTATTTGTTTATACTTTAAACTATTAATTTTGATAAGCTTTTTAGATTATATTTTCGGTTGTCACGTGTCACTATTTATTATAAAATTTTCATTTAAAATTTAAGATAACATTTTTCGAATAAAATTTTCAAATAAAATTTTTGGATAAAATTTTTCGAATAACATTTTTGGTTGACTAATCTATTAAAAAAAAAGAAATTGGAAATGCAAGAAATATATATATATATATATATAAAGACATTATATTGAATAAAATTTTTTTTTTTTTTTTTTTTTTTTTTTTTTTTTTTGCCCATTGAATTTTAGATGTTGGAAAGTGAAAAATATTGGAAGGAAGATGAAGTTTTTATGAAGATTTGGTGTAGAAAGTGAATAAAATGGTTAGGTATTTATAGGGAAAAAATACAGAATTTTTTGGTATTTTTAAAAAAAAAAATCAGAATTTTTCAGAATTTTTTCGAAAAAAAAAAAAAAAAAAAAAAAAAATTTTACTGTGCGCTGACGTCAGCCAACTCGGGCTTCAGTCCGGGCAAGACTTGCCCTTGGGCTTGCTCGGGCACGTGGGACCCACCACCAAACCGGGCTACGGGCCCTGCGCTGGAGCTGCCTCGGGCTCCCTCTGGCAGCCATTCCCCCGAGCTGGGCTTTGCGCTGGAGATGCTCTAATGTTTTCTTCGTAAATTTAGAGAAACACTTAACCAGGTTGAATTATAATAGGGTTCTTGTTTCATTTTTTCTTTTTTCTTTTTATAAATAAAAGTGGAATTTGCACTTTACAATATTAACAATTCCATATGCATATCCCTAGCTAGCTTTATAAGGAAACATGAATTTGGAATATATATATATATATATATATATCAGCTTTTCCAATTTCAGAATACGACCCGTTACACAACTCAAAATCCGCGCAATCGCACAATTAAATTTTTGAGTCATCTTCAAATGAACTTGCCATGCCATATTAATTTCATACATACAATACAACGCAAAAACAAGAGCCATGTAAGCACAAATTTTGGTTAAGCCAATTAAAGAAAATGAAAACTTGTTTATACATTATAGAGCAATATGTGCCTCTTCAACCATAGCTAGCCCTTTCGGCCACCGCGGCCCCCAGCCTTGGCTCTAGAGAAGGAGGAAGAGGAGGAGGAGGAGGGATCATGCCCACGATTAGCAGTTGGGTCACTGTAGTCGTCTGTCCTCACCATCAAAGATCTACCCTCCATGGGCGCTACCACCTCATCATCTATTAACCAAACACACCAGCAAAACACAAAACAAAGAAAAACAACTAATTATTAGCCTTCATTGCATAATCTTTAGTCCATGAAATCATCCCACACATATATTTATTGTGAAAATGTGAATTTAATCAATAGTTTAAATTCACAGTCTAACAACATAACTCTTACGTTGACATACAATCTGACAACATATATAACTATATTATATTGAGTCTCAATTAGTCTGTGACACTAGTGTCCTAATTACGCACCACTGGCAAATATAGAATGCATATAAAAGAGACAAACATATATGGATGCATGAGATGAGAGACCGTGAAGCCAAAAACCAAGCTGGTGTTGCACGAACTTCAAAACCCTCCTCCCCCCATTTTCCCAATTGATTCCAGACTCAAACAACGGATACCTGACGGTGCTCAATGAAAAAAATTAAAAAGATTAATCTTGATCATGATTTAATTAATATTAATATATTATTATATATCATAATGAGACAAATATATGCAGCACTTGAGATTTAATTTCCAACAAAATGATTCTCCTCCTCTATATCTCTAGTTTTCACAGAACTCCTCTATATAATATATACTTGGGTTTGAATAAAATTAAATGGTTTTGGAAATCATGGTTTTTTTCCCCAACCCATGTCCACAAACCTCAGTTGCTCATCTTATGCATTTAGTTTTGAGGATATATATATATAGGTATAGAGAAGAAATCAACATGCATGCATACCTGAAAATGGAATGTTGTTCCGGGCAGAGGAGATTAAAGCAAAGGCAAGCAAGAGACACAAGCACAGCCGACTGCCTCCAAATCCCATCTCTCTCTCTCTCTCTCTCTCTGTCTCTCTGTGATCCAGAAGCAGAAGGATATATAAGGGAGACCAATATCATTGCTGTATTATACGTTCAATAATATATATATATGGCTTTGGTTGAAGACATAAGACGTGGCACAAAGTGATTGCACGTTTTTTAGTAAAAGCAATATTCTAAATTAAATGAGAGAGGTTTCTCACACACAATCAAAATGTTATGGAGGTTCGAACCTGTCAATGCATTTTTTCACTAAGCTAGACCCGTTTAGCAAAGTGATTGCATATTTGTATAATATTATTATTATAGGACTGTTAGGATAGGAGTTGACGAAGTATATAAATCATGGTTGTCACGTTCACACATGAATGAGCAAAGGCAAGACCATCTCGTGATTGTGTGTGAATGCATCTGAAGATATATATGTCCGTCGATTTTTAGAGGTCAACGGGGTTGCTGTCCTGAATGATCGCTTCTTTTACCAGAAAAGGAAAAGCCAGCAACTTGTTTTCAAAAGTGGCTTTTTTTCAGTCCACGTCTGGCGATGAAGTGCTACAATGTCACCCAAATACAAAGACAAATATTCGCTTGCCCAAAATATTGATGACATAACACTAGGGTTAGGAGTGGGCATGATTCGATTCCGCTAAACCATCAACCAAATTGTAGCCGCATTTCTGATTCAGTCCAAACTGATTGATTAGCTCGGTTTGGTTTAGTTTGTGGTTTGGTACCAAACCAACACCGGTGTTGGTGAAGTAATGAGAATTCTATAGTGAGAGCCTTATATATGGCTCTTAAGTAAGACCTTATCTTTTATTGTCAGATCAAATTAGTTAGTTTGATCCGACAGTTAAGAGATAGGACCTCACATAAGGGCCTCACTATAAAAATAACTCGGTGAAGTAATTAAGAGTATCAATTGGGCCTTAGGGTTAGTTGGGTATAAGTTAGGCCTAAATGATTTGGATATACATTGGGCCTACGAAATGATTTGGATATTTTTTTCAAAAGTAAAATTAATACCACCAATTCAATTAGGTTTGGACTAAAGTTTTGTTTTGTGTGTGTTTTTTTTTAAGGACATTTTCTATTGTGAGGGGCATAACATATTGAACTTATAGACACTATATATATGCTAAGATTCAAACCCAGAAAAGGTCACTGCGGAGCAAATTGCTCAAAACCACTACACTAGTGAGTCATTTGCTTGTACTGCTTAAACCAATAAATAGAATCAAAACTTCTTTTTTTTCTTGGTGTCAACACAAATTTTCTGATTATTTCGGTTCAATCCTTATGTTCATTGATTCAAATGCCCACCCGTATAAAACAGACGAAGAGTTAGCTTCCATTATGCGTTTGAACTTTGCAATGAAGATTTGCATGGAAAGGGAATATGAACCTAGAGAAGTCTATGCAAGAGCTGAAAAGCTTCATCCACTGAGCCTTACCAAGCTACCTGCGAGCAGGGAAGCTTCATCCATTTAAGAAATTAAGTTTGCTAAGCATATGGGCTTGATGTAAATAGGTAAAGCATCTATAGCTACAGCCTACAATTGGTTTTACAAGCATATGCATTACGCTTGCTTGTTGGTTAGTCGACACAATGCTTTTAATGGTGAGATCATCCTAATTGTCACCATTTCCTTTTCTCTTTTGTTTCTTGAGTGACTTGACAGGAATTGGACCTCTTCAAGTGACATATGCTTTCCATTTTGACCTTCGGCCATCAAAGTTAAAACACTTGATTCATATATATATGAATCTGTAGCCATGTATTTCACTAAAAGTTATATCTTTACTTAGCTTAATAATGTTCAGCTTGTGGTTTTGATTGATTCCATGATCACTCATCGTTTTGAAGTCGGCAACCCAAAACAAGCATACAAAATTGATGGTGACAATTCTCCATTATGACTTCTCTGCCTATTTTTACAGTACTTCATACTATTTTGTGATATGTTTACTCAAAGTAGAAAAAGTTATAAATCGGAAGTCAGGAAGAAGAGAGAAAATAAGTAAATATAACCTCCTTAATTCATCTAATTCCTCGCTTTGTAGATATTGGGTTACAAATCCTAACATGAAACAAACGTCCTATGTTTCATGAGGACTAGTCAAATACAGCAAGGGGGTCTCTAAACACGTGTTCCTGTTTGCATAAACATGATCCAAGATTTAGTAGTGCCATAATCTACCCAAGTACATATATTACTACATTCTACATATACAAAATCAAAGTACATGTGATGATGCTTATGATCATCTTTTCTTAAATCCATACTTCTTTCTTTCATAAAAGAGGTCAGTTTTGGCACTGCCTAAATTTACTATCTTTGGACATCCATCCCTATCCTTCTCTTGTTGTGTACACTCTTTGCAATAGTAGGCATCTGAAATTCCAACTCCTCCACAGATAACGCACCGGCCTTGAAAAGATCCGTAGTTGCATTCATCACAAACCCTCACAAGTGTGCAAGGACGAACGTAGGAATCACAGATGACGCACTTGCCATCACACTTCTCGCACAGCCGCCCAATGGCGATCCCGGGTTGCTTCCGGCACATAATCAGATCAGGGTGATGCTTGGCCATCCCTCACTATTTTGTATTGACCTGCATAGACATACCCATGTTGGATGGTCTTATTAGCATTTGAATATGGAAGTTTTTCTATAAATGAATGAATTTAAAGAAGCTAGACTACAACACACAGGCAGGACCAACATCTAGAACAACCGAAAAGCCAACATAGAGAAACGAACAAGCACAACCTGCCACTCAAGTAGGGAACAAAGTCACGCCTAAGCATAGGAACAAACAATAGAACAAAACAGACCCCATCAGAAGCAGGTACAAAACCAAAGTCACATGGGCAGACGCCATTCTCGTAGAATGACCAAGTTAAGAGGAGAGCAAGTAATCTGCAGCGAACATGAATGCAATCAAATGGTGGCCTCAATAGACTTGAACACATCAAATGGAGGAAAGGGACCAAATTTTTTATTCAAATTTGGAATTGATATGAGACAAAGCTCAAACATTAAAGTACTAATTAAAAATCAAATACATGACGATTAATATATTCTCTGTCACACAGTCTAATACAAAATAACATGTCGGTAACTACATGTTGACATAATGTAAATCCGAACACCCATTTAACATGTTGCGTTGTTAGACTGTCAATATTTCACCCGAAAGATACCCAACAAAGGATTTCTTCAATCAAGAAAACATTGCCCAATACATGACCACAAATACAGAGAACTTTGTGCAGACAGAGCACGTTAAGTTTACATGAGCCATCAAATAATGCAACAATCACAAAGCATGATAAGAACATCAATCAAATTCAAATAGCAAAAACAATTTCTTTTCAATTGCCAACACCTAAGCCACAAATTTTGGAGAAAAAAACAAAAACCCAAATACCAAAAACAGTTTCTTTTCAATACTAACCACAACAAATTTTAAAATATATACACATATATAATGAAATTCTAAACCAAACTCACAAAACGAAGATAACATAAATAAAGTCTCTGGCAGAGGGCTAACCTGCGCCGCAGTCAGTAGGCTTCGTTGTCCTCAACTTCTTCGAGGTGCTAACTGGCCCCGGTGTTAAACAAACTCAGAACAAGTTCTGCTAATCCATGTTTTATACGAGAGAAGAGAGATGCTTTGGTATTTCAGAACAATCCAGATTTTCGAGTCGGTGCGGCAAGCCGGGCCCACCATAAATTCGGTTTTAAATTTGGGCCTCCATGGATACTAGCTCCAAAGGCTAAATTGGGTTTTGTCTTGCCGTTTGGGCCCTGTTTTTTTTTGACCTTTTGCTTTTTTTGGACCTTTGTGGTGTACTATTCATAAAGGGAACAAATAATCCGAAAGTCATATTAAGACTTCTTTTATAAAAAAAAATATTAGTGTGATAACACAGGACAAAATTTATTGTCTCAAAAAGAGCAGCTTTCAATAACTTTTTAAGATCGACCGGGGTCCAGCGAAAGTGCCAAAGATCTCAGGAGGACATTTAAATGGATGCAAGAAAATTGTCTTTATTTTTTCTTTTGTAAATGAGCCGTTAGTGTGTTGATTTGTAGTCATTATTCCTTTAAGTAAGGTTTTAGGTTCGAGTCTTAGTATTCGTGTAGTATATGTGAGTTTAGTATACTATCGCTCTTTTCAATAAAACAAGTTCTTAAAAAATAGAATAAAGGGGTACTAATGAATCTAACAAAATCTTCAATGCTTTTATAATTATTAAATTGTCAATAACCCATTCGAGATGTGGGAAGGTAATGAAATAAAAGTCATAGTGTTTGTTGATTAACCGAGTAACTAGCTAGACAAAATCAACCACGTAATGAAATAAAAGTCATTGCATGAATATAGTAAATTTGAATACATATTTGATTGCCCTCTTGTTCCTTTGGAAGGTCATACAAGTAAGGATAAAATGTTGCTTGTTGATTGAGTTAAGATTTATTATAAGATCGATGACCCCACAAATAATTGAAGACTCATACCAACAAATCATCTAAAAAACTTATTGTAAGACTCATAACAATGAATAACCGTCAAACGTTCATATGCGTTCGTATAATGTTTACCCATGATATGCTATGTACAATTCGCTTATGTATTCAATATTTTATACATGAATAAATACTCTTAATCGCTTACGCTAGTTGTGGTGTAAATATGAACCAGTAAAAATTGCACATGTGCGATATCTGAGACAAACCTATGATACGACTGATTTAAGGGCTACCTTTCCTATACATCATAGGTCCCTTTTTTTGTAGATTGCGGGGGTCAGAGAGATAGTTATTAGAGACAAGTCACAGGGGGGACCATAGGACAGGTGTCACCGGCAAAACACGTAAAAACAACGTCCTGGTCCCACTCCAAGAATAAACAAATGTCTTGGTCTCACTAAAAAATAGTTACTGTCACCTTCACGAACCTTGGCTTGCTCCTCATTGCTATAAGCAGCCTGGCCGAGAAGATGACTTCCATCTCTACAAAAAAATGGATTCTGAATCTTACCCTCCTCCATTTCGTTCACTCAACAATTCGACCCAGATCATAGAATCGGATGAAAAAGCCTACCCGGTTCATGATTTGGAGGATCCGATACCCCTGGTGGATCTCCAGAGCCTGAAACTTGGCAAGCAGCTTGGTGAGGCCTGTGAGCAATGGGGCATTTTTCGTTTGGTAAACCATGGGGTTCCTCCAACCCTTTTGAGCCAACTTCGAGACCATGCGGAAACGTTTTTTTCTCTGCCTTTTGAATCCAAACAGAGCCTAATCACCAGCCCTCTGTCCTACTTCTGGGGCACTCCCGCCCTTACTCCATCTGGGGCAGCCTTACACAGAAAGGGTAGTACTCTGGAGAATATCAATTTGGTTGAAGGGTTCAACGTGCCCATAGCTCAACTCAATCAATTTCAAGCTGATAATCACATAGTTGCTTCTTTCAGGTACCCTTTTTTTTTGTTTTTTAATATTTTTTTTGGGGAAAAACTGGACCCCAATTCAAATTTTGTTTCAATTGATTGATTGCTGGGTGTTTTTACCCTAAAAAACAAAACAAGTCTCGTTTTTTCATCTAACTTTCATCTAAACATTGTCGGGCTCTTTACAGGTAAAAAGTCTTTCTTTCTTTAACTGCAAATTGTGGCATGAAACATGCAGATACTGACTTACTAAAAGTGAATAAAATTTATGCACACGGATCACACTGTGATTTGTCTATAATGCGAAATGGTGTTTGCGAGTAAATAGGCTATTATTATTTTTTCCTTTTATACATGAACTTATTTAACAAGGGCTTATGACTTTTTTGTGCCTCACAAGCCTTGTGCTAGAAGAATATGGAAAGCACCTAGCTAGAATTGCCACAACCATATTTGAAGCTATGTTAAAGAACCTTGGTTTGGATCCAATAGAATCGAAGTCCAATTTATCACATTCTACTGGCTCTGTACGTGTCTACCGTTACCCACGTTGCTCCAACTCTAACTCTGCATGGGGTTTGGACGTCCACACTGACAGCTCTGTGGTCTCGATCTTGAACCAAGATGACGTCGGTGGACTTGAAGTTCTCAAAGACAAAGACTGGTTTACTGTCAAGCCAATTCCCAACACTCTAATTATCAACCTTGGAGATATGATGCAGGTCCTCTAAGAAATAATTTAGAGTTCTTATATGTTTTGTTATGGGGAGAGTCATTCACGCACATGCAAGTGACTTTCAATCGTTGATGTCTTGTGGAGAGAACGTAGTAGATACAATACATCAACGATTGGAAGTCACTCACCTGCGAGTGGGTGGATGGTTGTCCTTAGCTTTTTTTGCTTATTTGTTTGATGATATATTTTTCTTAAATGGTTCAAATTTTAGGCAATAAGCGATGACAAATACAAGAGTGTGACACACAGAGTGAAGGTGAACAAAAACAAAGAGCGAATTTCAATCTGCTACTTTGTGTTCCCGGGTGAAGGCAGTGTGATTCGGAGCTCAAAGTACAAGCCTTTTACTTACAGTGATTTTCAAGAGCAAGTGCAGCAAGACATAAAAACTGTTGGGTATAAGGTTGGGCTTGAGAAGTTCAAGATTAGTGAAGCTGTTTAAGTGATGATGCTAACGGGCTCAATAATATGTCTGTGGGCTATGCACGAAAACAAAATGTTCGTGTGCTCTACGAATACCACTTTTTTCCCCTTTTGTTTTTTACTTTTGATATAATCTAAAATGTTTTTTTTTAATCAACGAACACTTTGTTCAGTGGTGCTTATCTTTCCAATGTTGAGATAGTTTATAAGTTCGAATATAATTTTCAAAAAGAAAAAAAAAACAGTTATTTTCTTGTTCATTCATTTGCCAGTATAACGCGGACCATGATAATTTACGGCAAAAATAACTCAATGTTTAGTATATGAACTAATGTTTGAAAGATAACAAGCATTTCATGGAAGGGAATTTTATTCTTATTCGTACAAAGCAAATAACATTTACTATCTTGCAGAAGGTGAGCATTCAATCCACATCGAAAATAGAAGTCATGCATTATGGTTTTGAATTTATAGTTATACACAGATTATCAATTAGTTTTAAGTTGGATATTCACACTATAAACATGGTATCACAACGGCCTACTTAAGTGTTAGACCAAACAATCACACACACTTTCACGCGATCGGATATACGTTGTCATTCACATATTTTATTTTCTCGATGTCTATATTAATTCTGGCTCTTTCTGTTTGTCTCTTCTTGACGAAAATTTTGGTCCAGAATCTTTCTGAATTTGATGCCAATGTAAAGATAGTTGTCATTACTACACTTTCAAGAATAAGACAAGTCAGAGAGCCAAAAAAAACGCAAATTTAGAAACCAAAGAGAGCTCAGAAACTTAAAAACACTCTTCAAAATTTCGAAAATTCAAATTGAAGCCAACAGGCCTAAATCATACAAAAGATTCATAACAAGATCTACCTTTTGTACAGTCCACAGGATCAACTTTTCTTTTTTTTTTTTTTTTTTTTTTTTATAAAAAAAAACAATAATTTTCATATTCTTGTGCATCAATAGAAACATCATTTGATAACATTTTTATTTATCTTGGATGGGTATTGAAATTATACCGATTCTTGATTTCGCGTCAGTTTATAAACACATGGATATTAGATTATTCTAATTCTCGACTTTCATGTGTTTACTAATACTTAACGAATAAAAAAATTATGTAGGTTCTCCACTAAAATCCGTAATTTAATACCTTAAAAATCAGAAATTAGATTGATTGGACGTAGTTGATCTCATACACATTTATTCTCTATCAAAATTTTAACTTTCTTGATTCATGACTTCTCCCACTCCATCCATGTAAATAAATATGTCATTAGTTTATGTAATGTCACTTGCTCCATTCCATACACATTATTACTTTCCCTATTTAATCAATCAAGATTGTTGCTAAACCGTGACAACTACGCATTTTATTTACGCATAAATTCTCTTGTAAAGTATTAGAAAAGTGAGCATGCATAAGTATGGATAAATTCTCTTTTAACATCATTAAGCAAATTAAAGGTAGGCCTTGGTCGAATCACATATGTTAGCCTGCATAGCCTTCCCTCTGGAGATTGTGTGAGTGCTTGAACAGCTTGGAGCTTTAGATAGTTTTAAGTCCAGTGTGAATACTTTATGGTTCTGATAATTAATTTCAATTTATTGTGGATGGGAATTGACATGTGTGATGTGATAGGGTCATCATCAGCTTAACCTGGGTGATTGGGCCATAGATATTGCAGTCTCTGAAGTTAGGTGTGTTTAGATGCAATGAAACAGCTTCCCAATAATGGAGAGAACTTCAGTGTCACTTGGAAACGGGTAGTGTTTTTGCAGGTATAATGTCATCTGAAAATTAGCTTAATTTGAACACAACCGGTAAATAATGCCATGTGAATTGAGCACGATCCGTTAAGGTAACGAGTGAGAAAATATAAATGCATACACAACTTGTAAAAATAATAGGTTACATGACACAACCCGTCTCAGTTGTTAAGACTATATACTCATTTCAACCATGTGCATAAAATTTTTGATATCGCGAAACATAATAGAATTAAATCCAAACAATAAAAATCATAGTGGAGATATTTTTTCTTATAAAAAGGCGATATAATTTATTAGATGAATATGAATAAAAAGTGCAAAGGACACAGACTAATTTTTTTAAAATCAAAAAATGAGAATTCTATCACCGAATCTGAAAGGAAAGATAACATTACATCCTATATAATTTCCTTTATGTAACTATTAAATTTGATATTTACGTTATAAAATGCATAAAACAATATTGCGAAACTTTCCATAGAAAGAAAAGGTTAGATAGCAAATTATGCGTGTATATAAAAATACGTTAATGGTAAAAATCACCAATAAATTTCTTTAATCAGATAAAGTGAATAAGAATTAAATCAAGGAACATATAATATAAGAAGTATTGCATGCACTTTTCATACTGATGGTGGGAGTTCTTTGAAAATAACTATAGAATGAGAGAACATATAGCTTCATACAATTTCTATTTTGCCTTCATGCATGCATGCTTACCAAGTCTTTAAATAGCCAAAAAAAATTTATGATAACTAAAAGCGCTTATGATAGTGTTAGTGCTTTCTCATGAAGCACTTGAATTTTTTATTTATGAAAATTTCAATATTTTTATAATAAAAATATTTTTACTAGAAGTGTTTATGAGTAAAAGTGCTTCTTAGAGAAGCATTTCCAAAAGAGCCCTAAGAATTAACTCAAGAAAGTTAGCTCAAGTGGTGAAGGTGGGTGAAGAAATAAGATTATAATTATGTTATATTAAAAGTTCAGTTCTCTTACTTAATTAATATCTTAAGTTTGAAGTACTTCCTAATTATATATATATAAAAGGATGTCATGCATAATTTTCTTTCTTGAAAGTCAATTCATGCATAACTTGGTCCATGCCTTTTCTGCTTATATAGGAATGAAAGAATGTACATAGTATGGGCAGAAACATATCAAAGATTTGTCTTTTTGATACAAAATATATAAAATATGATAGTCAAAGGAGAGAGAGAGAGAGAGGACAGGGGCCAAAAACACATGAGAAAGAAAAGGATTATACTTTACTTGTAACCATCCATCTGTAAGATCTCCTCTGCACGCCAAAATGAAAATCAAAACCGAATTTAAAGAAATAATTCTAAAATACATTTCCAAAATTGAAGAAGTCAAGAATATATTGACAATTAAAATTATTTGTATCACTTCTATTGATTACTATTGGTAATCTAGTTCACCTGATCTCTAATGACAAAGAAATTTCCTAGTCACTTACTGGTAGCTATTGATTTTAAATACATTAATAATTTCTTAATCTCAAAATCAAGATAATCAGTAACGGTATAACATGCGTGACAATATTTTCACATGACATAACATTATTAGTTAAGGATAACAAAACAATGTTATATCCATCGCAACTAAGTTTTTCTCGTATTACTGATCCATAAAGCATTATTTTGATGTATTTTATGAACAATTTTATGAGTGATTTTTCTAGGGGGTTTCACTAAAACATCCAAAATGGAGGTTGAAATTATAAAAAAACCCAACACCCAAAACACTTTATAAACACACCCAAAACCCATCATTACACACACTCAAAACTCATTTATAAACACACCCAAAAAGTTGACTTTGGGGTTGATTTTGGGTGTGTTTCTATGTTTAAATAGTACTTGGGTTTTTTTATAAATACATGTCTAGGATTGAGTTTATTTATAAATTTGTAATTTTCTAATGTGATTTGCAATAGCTAATTACTAATTAGATCTGCCCAAATCCCAATTGTTCTGCACCGGAAAGTTTCCCCTTCAATGCCTCCTCCTGTTTCCTATTTCTTCACCCCTAATCGTACAAAACAATCCAACGGCGAATAACCCACCGCGAGAATCACCAAGTCCCTAAACGCAATATCAACGGCCCCTATTGAGGCCTCGAACGTCAAACCTTTATAGTATGCACCTCGCCGCAGACAATCCCTCCACCTCATTATTTTATTCAATGGAATTTTAAAAGGGTACAAAACAGAAAGACCAAATAAAGAAACGGGATCCTGCCACCTCACGATTCCGTACGTACGGCACTGACGTGGCGGAAGAAGGAAACGGGAGCAGAGTTAAGTAACGTACTCAAAGGGGCAGAGTATCGGAGTGTCAGTCTGTTTCTTGGTGCCAAAGCAATTCGACTGAGATTGAAAGTTTTGAGAAAAAGCCCAATAGACTCCAATGCCCATTGAATTCTTAGACCGAAACTCTCGCACTTTCCGAATTTCACAAACCAAAAACCCTTCTCTCTCAACCCTCATTGCCTCTCTTTGCTCGGCTTCAATGGCTGGCAAGGACCTTGAAGAACTGGGTTCCCTTAGGAAGAGAAAGCGCAGGACTCAGAATAAAAAAAAGCTTCTTGTTGGTGACAAAGTTGAGGTAATGTCACCTTCTTTCAGCTTTAGTGTTTTTGGGTTTTGCAGAAAAATGAGTTCTTGGGCTGTGATTGTTGTGTATTTTGTATTTTTTTGGCTTTGTTTTGGGTTTTGTGCATCATCTAAAGCAAAACACTCTTCTTCTCCGCAAAAAGAAAATAACTTAAACATGGGATTTAAGAGGGGTTTTAGAAAGATAGCGACTTTGTGGATGTGTCCAAGGAAGGAGACAAGTTTTAAGAAAAGGTAGCAAAGTTACCACAATTTTATGAAGTCAAGCAAGCAGAGTGTGGATGTTGAGGGCTCAAAGAGCAATGCATGCCAGCCGATTTCACTGATGTTCATGAATCCTTTTCAGGAAAATGGGTTTTTGCTTCCCCCTTCAACAAAAGAGCTTCAAATTTCTCCAAGCATAATTGCAATAAAAGCTTTCTATAGCAATTTTAGAGATGATTTATATTTAACTAAAGGTCTCACCTTGTCAAGCTGCAAACTGGCCACCCTCTGCCCCTAACTCTGTGAATCCCTTTGAAATTCCCTTATTTGAGTTATTTTATTTTTGTAGAGAAGAAGACTGTAACTTAGATGATGTTGATGTGGTCCACATTGGACCATTGTTTTTCTTATATGGCTGCGATTCAAAATCTGGTATACTTTTAGCCTAGGAGAGGATCCAAACCCACTGTTTGGGTGTTTTAATTTTATAGGAAATTTTTCTTTCTTTATCTGGGTTGTTTTTAACTTTTTACTCTCTCTCTCTCTCTCTCTCTCTCTCTCTCTCCTCTCTCTCTCTCTCTTTTTGTTCTTGTTTTTAAATTTCGCTACTCTGCCTATATGTTGTTTGCTGTTAACAAAAAAAAAAAAAAAAAAAAAAATAATTCTGGGTCCAGTGCCACCTTGTGTTCTGTAATAGCTTTTGGGTTCAAGCCAAATTCTCCAAAATTGATTATGGCTACCTTGCCTTTAATGTTTCTCTCGTTGTTATGGTTTATGGCTTATTTAGGTTCATTTTTCCATTTATGCATGGTTTGATTTTGGTTCTCATTAAGGTAATGGATATTGTGCTTATTTTTTACTTCGTTTGTTTCACGAAGGTACTCATTATAGATATGGCAAAGTGTTCATTAGGAATTTCAAGATCTGTTTAAAAATAAATAAAATCTGAACTTTTGCAGGTGAGGAGTCTAGAAGATGGGTTTCAGGGGTCGTGGCACCCTGGGATTGTTACTGCATGCAAGAAGCAAGGTTGTCGTCAAGTTCAATACGACCATATTCTATCTGATGACGGGTCTGATAATCTGGTTGATGTTGTGTCTGTTTCACCCATTCTGGATGGTATTGGCTCATTCACTCGGGACTGGAGTAACTATCGTGGGTGTATAAGGCCAACACCCCCTCGCATCCAGCCAGGGGAATGGGACCTTCCCTATGGACTCTGTGTGGATGTGTATCATCTAGAGGCTTGGTGGGAAGGTGTTATCTTTGATCATGAAGATGGTTCAGAGGAGAGAAGGATCTTCTTCCCGGATTTGGGTGATGAACTAAAGGCTCAGATTGACACTTCGCGAATTACTCATGACTGGGATGAGGTTACAGAAAATTGGAAGCGGCGTGGAACTTGGATATTTCTTGAGTTGCTTGAGCACTATAATCAGGAGAGGTATATTTCCGTTTCCGTGAAGCAAATTTGGTATGACGTGCGTGAAAAAGAACCCTTCGAGTGGACTTCTTTAATGAGACATGTGTGGGAAGAGTTGGTTTTGGAGGTCATTAATGATAACATAAGCATCACAGTTGATGAACTATTTGGGGCATTAGACAAGTCAGGATTCTTTTCACAAGAAACCCCCGTAGAATTGGAGTCAGCTGTTTTTGTTTCTGATGCTAATATGAATCCTAAAGAAAATATGGCAGACTCTTTGGCTATTGTACCTGTTGATGAGTTGCTGAATAGTGATTTGGTAGTTGATCGTGAAGATGCTGTGAATAAGGTATTGAACTGCAGTGCTGAGATTATTAATGAACGGCATCTAAATGGAGGTTTGTCTATCAATCCAGACTCTGCCTGCACGGAGCAGGTTCAAGAGAAATCTTATAGGGATCAATTGATTTCTGTGGTAGGAGATGAAGGACCAAATATGAATAGTTTGGAGTACTCCGATATATCCTTCCAAAATAAAGGGGTGTGTGTTCTACCTCAGGTTTTGTTGGTGTTTCCTCCTAATCTTGATGGAAATTCTTGCACCAATTCTGTTATCAGCAATGATGGAATTTGTAGTACTAATTACAGAGGCAGAAGTACCCTAGATTGGCAACCTTTGGACACTCCAGCTGAGTGTTGCCCTGATGCTGTTGATGAATATGCAGATTTTTTTAAGGGAATGTCTTCGAAATTCTCAACAACAGTTGTTAAGCAGCATATTTCATACTTGGGCTGGAAAATACATAGTGCAATGGATAAGGGCAGGCCCAGACTACGATACTTGTCTCCTGCTGGAGAATACGAGTACTCTCTTCGTCAAGTGTGTAAGAAGTTGAAGAAACACAAGAAAGATACACTTTTTTCAATCTCTCAAGATGCACATCAGGATTTGCATGGTTCAGCAGAAGAGTCTCTTCTCATTGAACAGCCACAAGAGATTCCACATCCTAATTATTATCCTCAGAAAGTAGAGTCTCCTTGCTTCAAGGTATTTATTTTCAAACCTGAATATTGCCCTGAAGCAGTTGTGGAATATTATATGCATGCAGCAGGCAAGACAATCAAGAAGGAACTACGAAAAATGATTTCAAAAGCAAAAAGGCACCTCTCAGCTGTGGGGTGGGTGTTTGTGTACTTGAATGCAAAGTCAAGGAACTTGCACTACAGGTCACCCAGCGGAGTACTGTATCGTACACTTCAAAGTGCATGCAAAAGTTGTATGGATGAAGGAGTTTCTGAAAAAAGACCTGCTGAATGCATGTATGTTGTTGAGGAAGATGAGGGCCAGTTGACTAGAAATAAATTATGTTCTGCAGCAAGTAATTTGGATTTTCAGGAAGGCTTAGTACCATTAAAGACTCTGTCCAAAAAGTGGTCTAGAGATTCTGGTATCATTTTACAGTCGAGTAAGCTTGGTAATGTGAAAGTTCAAGGTCGTAGAAAACGCCGAAGGAAGAGAAATGATACTTTATCAGATCTTGCACCTGACTTACTTCAAAGACAGCCTTACTTACATGGTAGAACAGATGGATCAACAAAGGATCAATGTACCAGCCCTCCAAAGTTGAAAAGGAGGAAGGTATCTGAAGCTTTGAATCGGTTAAAAAATGGTCTGGATGGTAGTCCCCCAACTCGTGTGCTTAGGTCAAGCAAATGGGTGCAGGAAGCGGTTACATCAACTTCCTCGCACAACAATCCTCGTACTGTCTTATCTTGGTTGATAGACAATAATGTGGTTTTACCAAGGGCAAAAGTACATTATCGTAGCACAAAGGATAGTCATCCAATGAAAGAAGGGAGGATAACTCGTGAGGGGATCAGGTGCAGCTGTTGTCAAGAGGTGTATACTCTTAGTTGCTTTGGGAATCATGCTGGCAGCAGTTACTGCAGTCCTTCTCCAAATATTTTTCTGGAAGATGGTAGGTCTCTCTTAGATTGCCAGATGCAAATTATGCATGATAGAAGGAAGAGGAGCTTGCAAAAAGAACCACGTGATAGGATAAAGGGCAATCGGCGCCGAGGCGAAAATGATTACATTTGTACTGTGTGTCACTATGGTGGTGACCTAATTTTATGTGATCAATGCCCATCATCATTTCACAAAAGTTGCCTTGGCTTGAAGGTAGATTGTTTTGCTTGAGTCTTTCTAATGCCTTGCTATAAAAAGAAAAATGTTAGTTTTTAAATTTTTTTTTATCCTTTCCTAAAAACTGTTTGAGATTCTTGGCTTCTTGTCTCAGGCATAAATTGTTTTGCTTCTGCAGTATGTTCCAGATGGTGACTGGTTCTGTGCATCTTGCTGTTGTGGAATTTGTGGCCAAACCAACTTCGAAGAAGATAAAGAGCCTATTATGGATGATAGTAGTGTTCTCACATGTGGTCAATGCGAGCATAAATGTATGAAATTTTATCTGTTTTAGGTCCTATAGCAGATGCGCCTGTGAACTTTGTGTATGTGGACACACATTTGAAAAGTTTGTGATTTTAAATTTTAAATTTGATGTAGATCACAAAGGGTGCCTGAGGAAAAGGGGTGCAGATAAGTTGGAAAGCGATCCAAAAGGAAATTGGTTTTGCACCAGAAATTGTAAAAAGGTACCTCAAGCATGTCATCACCTAGTTTCCCTTCAGAGCTTAGTTGCTTGTTTCTTAGCCTGTTTAAGAAAAGAAAAACCAGAAGCATGCGTTTATCTTTTCTTCATTCCATTAAGATCTAAATTATTTTGAAAGAGTTTCAGTGTTGTGTTTTTTCTGTCAGATGTTTTAGTGCGAGTTATGAATCTTATTTTTGCTAACATTATATGAACGAGTTACTTGTCCAATCCATTTTTAAGTCCAAGTTGATAATTTTGGATACGACTGTTTTGAATTTTCAGATATTTTTAGGCCTCCACGAGCTTCTAGGGAAACAGATTCCAGTGGGAGATAACAATCTATCTTGGTCACTAGTCAAGTCCAGTAAGTCTGATATTCATGATACTGATGAACCTGATATTGATGCCATTGAGAGTTACAGCCGACTCAATGTTGCTCTTGATGTGATGCACGAGTGTTTTGTGCCTGTTAAGGAACCTCTTACCAGGAGAGATCTTGTAGAAGATATCATCTTCACTAGAGGGTGAGAAATTCAAACTGTCATTGTCACAACTTGTTTCGTTGGCGTCACTTGCTGAAATACTGATAACAGTTGAGCTTGGCACATGAGACATATGTTGATTCTCCCCTATAAATAAGTGTTTATCATTTAAATTTTGTTTAGTGATAATTCAATCAATTTCTTATTCACTTCCTAAGACTCATTGTTGGAATTTTGCAGGTCAGATCTTAACCGTCTGAACTTCCGAGGGTTCTATACTGTGCTTTTGGAGAGAAATGACGAACTAATCACTGTGGCTACTGTAAGGTGAGCTTTATTAAGCTTCTTATTAAAAATGGGTGAGCTTTGTGTCCTAAGCGATTGATTCCTAAATTGCTACTTTCTTGTTCGAAGGATCTTTGGAGGCAAGGTGGCTGAAGTACCTCTTGTTGCTACCAGATTTCAATATCGTCGACTTGGAATGTGTCGTATACTAATGGATGAACTTGAAAAGGTAATGCATCGAGTGTTCCTACAATTCGTTGTGACTGTCTGAGTTTGCTCGTTTTCAATTTCACGTCCTTTTATGGATGATTAAGTGTGATGGACCGTACTACCTGGACCTGTTGCACATGTAAGTAATTTTGTCAAATTCTCATTATTGTCTCCACATTTTTTCTTCTCTCAGATGCTTGTGCAGTTAGGCGTGGAGAGATTGGTTTTGCCAGCTGTCCCCAGTGTACTAAACACATGGACAACTTCATTTGGGTTCTCTACGATGACAGCTTCTGAGAGGCTACAGTTTCTGGATTATACTTTCTTGGACTTTCAGGGTACCATTATGTGTCAGAAACAGTTAATGAAAAACCCTCCAACTGAGGCAGTCCCTTTAGAAGGTATCTTTTATGTGCTTAACCTTTTTTTCTTTTTGCACGGAGAGATAAAATGATATCCATCAAGTTACCATACTAATTGCCATACATTTTCTTATATGCCATCTTGCAGGAACCCAGCTTGATCTTTGTTTAGATACCTATGAAAGTCATGATAATATCGATGTTGATAGGTCCAGTGCTGTCTCTGAAGTGTATCAAGCAGAACAATTTGAGGATAGCGGAATTGTGCACCAAGGAGTGGAGTATGTCTCACCTCTCACTAACTTATATCTAGAAACTGAAATGATACTCATAATGTTCTTCAAGACTAAAAGTCATGATGCTGATAATCTTCTGCATTCATTTTAAAGAATTTGTGCAATTGATTTAATTGTGGTTAAAGCAGTTTGGATGAAAATTAGTCTTGTTCAATTAAGAAAAAGAAATTGGAAAGCCAGCCTATATCAATCCCCTGTTAGTTAATTTTGGTTTAATTCAAGTTACATAAGCTTTCTTTTTACATGTGCACAATTATTGACCATGCAATTTTTCACCAGCAATGCTGCAGGCAAGAAAAGTAGACCATGCTTCAGTGAGAGCAGTCCAGAGTTTTCCTCCATGGAAAATGCCATTAAAAAGAGGGCATGTGATGGCTGCTACAAGCAGTACAAGCGAAGGAGGATATCCGCCAACGGAAGCTGATTTATGCTTTACCTCCACAGCTAGATGATCGAATGTAACGTAATCAGCAGCGCGCAGTGACTGTTTTTTGCTGGCGTAGTTGGATAGACGTGTTAGTACGGTTCCCAAATTTTTGCTTGAGGAGATATATGTAGTTCTTTCTTGTACATAACATTCAAGGAAGGGGGTGGGGGGAGAGCTTGGTGTCTTGTTCATATTTTGAAGTATAGCTTGGTGTCTCTTCGAAGCCTGATCATGTTTATAAAAAGTTGAAGAAGGTTGCCAACCCATTTATTTATATGATCCAACAGCATACACAAATGAATACCAAGTTAAACTGATGATGATCGATCAAACATCAAATGCTTTTCAGCGCACTTGCCTTGGCCAATAACTTCCAGCATGTTACTATAGCATGGTATTGCATGATCCTTTGGGTACACACAGTCTACTGTCATAGTGATGGCTCTGACTATTATTTTGATAATTGTTATATTGTACATGTGAGAGAAGCAATAAGGAGAGAGAGATTTCACATTAATATTTTTGTCCTATAATTCGGGAATTTATAGAACTCTTCATAGCCTTTGGTTTGTACCTAATTTTGTATCTGAGTTGGAGAGTGACAAGGAGGCTAGAATAATTGTTAGGTCAGAAGCAAGAGCAAAGACGTTCCCCATAAGCTATGTATATACAGAGTAATGCATGTGTGGCTTAATGTAAACCCTAGCCCATTATGGATTTACCTAAATGGGCTTACTCTTAATATCAAGGCCTATGAGTGAAATATGGCTGAGGCCCACAACACTCAGTCCAATAATATTCGAAGCAATTCATTTTTCACAAACAAAATATAATTGGCTATGATGCCACCTACCTTACTAGAAAAATACTTAAATAAGAACCAAGATGAAGAACAACAACGCTTCACACGTATAACCAGACGCTTTGTCGCCCTATTTTCCTATTTGGCGGTGCTCTCACAATTCTTCAAGTTCTCAAAGCTTGTCTCATCATGGCTCTCAACTTAAATTATATTATTCAAGTGTTTGATTATCATTATGATTTTGTGTTGGTCTGTTTCTTTGGCTATCAATAGATGGTTAAACAATTTTCAGTTTAATCAAATTTTGTAAGGATATTGTTGAATGTGACTTTAAAAAACGACGGTACGAATCAAGAGATCATTTCATTAAACTTAAATAAAGTTACTATACAATACAAGTGAATCATGTGGCCAATACGGAGGTTCACATTTATGATCCATATATGACACTGTCACCGTAGAACTTAATATGGAGTTCAAATGCATTATAATATACTTCAATTGTTTGATATTGGCAAATAATAGTCCAATCCAATTCAATTTGAATAATAAAAACTTAGTCCAATTTTATACACGACCCCAATGGCTAATAGAAAAATGGAAGCAGGATATTGTTTAGTTTCACTCAAAATTGCAAATGTTTATAGATATGAAATTTGACAGGTGAGTTAAGTATGTTGGTTAGGACAATATGTTTGCCCCTTTACCTGAGTTTAAATCCTCCTCTCTTGTTTAGACTATCGTTTTGTATAAAAACGGAAATTTATAAATGATTGTGAAAGATTTGAATGCAGGTAGCTGGCTGCTCATGCAGCACTAGACACATTTTGCAAGTTGCATTCCACGTTCCTCCTAAATACACCTAATGGAGACATTGGCCAATAATAGCTCACCAAACATGTCTCACATTCTTGAAGATCCTAACTCATGTGTTCTTTGACCCTTCCCAAACACTCTTCACAAAGTACCAATAACTGCTACGAACTAAAACCAATTTTAGGGATTATATTATTTCATATGTATGTATCTATCTATATATGCAGAGCATACAATTTAATAATGTTCTTGACCTTTAAGAAATTGAAAAATAATCAAGCGATGCATGGAACCGATTCTTCCTTGTTAAGCTTTCTAAACTAAAACTTGTGCTTTCAAATAAACCTCACTTCAATACAGAAAAAGATTCCAAAGCCCCTCTTTTCTCTTTGAAAAACCGAGTCTTTCACATTGTGAATTGACGACAGTCAATGCTGCAATGCAATGCCTCAACAAAATTATTAAATGCTTAAAAGTTTTTTTGTCGTGATTAATAAACCCGAATTCATGACAATGGAAGGTGACTAATTTCGGATGGTGATGTTTCACAAGGCTTGCCCCTAAATTTTCCGTAAAGCAAAGTAAACACAAGAATGATGTTCTATGTATATGTTGGTAAGTAAAGCAAAGAACATTTGCTTTCCAATTGGAGTTGCCCTCTTTCTTGAAAAGGCGCAGACCTACATTTTAAACTCTGCTTCCTTGTATAATAAATGAGAGGGAAAGAATCCAACTTTGAGGCGCCTAACATAGCAGCATAGAGAGAGAGAGAGAGAGAGAGAGAGAGAGAGAGAGAGAGAGAGAGAGAGAGAGAGAGAGAGAGAGAGAGAAACCAACCAAGTAGAGAATTGAGATTACCTCACCCCACATTGGCTGCCTCCCTCCCTCCCTTCAACATTAAAAGAAAAAAAAGTGCAGACTAATGAGCACTGGACCTCAGCACACAAGCTTGCTGGTTGGTCCCAACTTCATGAAAATCTCTTTAATTTGAGAAATTATTGTATGTGATGTGAGTAGTGTATAGAATTCACTTGAATAGTTCGGCTATGAGTTGGATTGGACGTAAATAAATATGTTATCAACACATCTGCGACAATATTCATGCGATATCAACACAGAATGAGAACTTAAATTCACTTGAATTATAAAAATGGGTACTATTATTAATGTCTAAATTATGTACATTTAAGACCTAATACACATGTTACGATTTGGATGAATGTAATCGTGCAATACGCCACATCGCATCGTGGTTCTAAAACACCCAATAATTTTTCTTCTTCTTAACCCTTTCTGTAATTTTCTTAACCACCTTGCTTCCAAAATTTCAAGAGAAATCTACCATCTTTTACAAAAAGATCACACAAACACTGCATTCATGGTTTGTGGACAAAAACACTTGCAGACAATGTGAAGAAAGGTAGAAGTTCAGTTCCGGGGTCCAAATCAATCTCACAAGCCCACCGTCACCAGTCCATATTCATTTTTTAACTCACGTGAATAGTAAACCCATCTCGGCAATTCTCGTCCATGGTTAAAAATTTAGCCCCCCAAAATATTAATTTTTTAAAGAATAGTATCGGGCTAAATTTTTTCATCTCCAACCATGCATGGCTATATTTTAGGATCTTTCATATTTTATTATTTTGAGAAAGAGAAGCAAATAGTGCTTTAATATTTGGTAGTTGAAAAGTACATGGTGGGGTCCACTATGAATTTGGCCTAGGCCAAAGCTGGGCTACATTTGGCCCAGTTGGAGGGCTAAAGGGTCAAATGTGACTCTCCAAATTTGGCCAAAATTTTATTTAGCCCATGGCTGAAGATGAGTTTTGCATTATTTTAGGGCTATATTTGGGATATAGCCTATAGCTGGAGATGGCCTCACATGTACACAACAAATCTAATGGTGCATTTTTGCTCACCATCTTAACCCCAGGTGTACCCTCACCATTCCTCCCAAAAGTTGACACATGTCCATTAATTTAACTATAGTTAATTCTTTATTTTTTTATTTATTTGATAACATTATTATGAGACCTAGCAAACTTTCCCCTTTTCTAAATTAATTAACAACTACCCAAATAAATAATTGGCAATTGGCTTTATATCCCGTGCTTTAATATGAATATCAATTCACAGGCTTCAATACTTTGAAGAACACACCCAGATACTTTTGAATCTCAATTGGCTTTAGTTAACTCCTTTTATACACGCCCAAAAGTTACATTGCTCTTCAATATATTATTACGTTGCAATTTCTCAATATCCTTGAACCTGTTTTCTTTCTTCAACCGATGAGCTAATTATGATGTTGCAAGTTTCCAACCAATTAATTTTAACGTTGCAAGTTCTGGACTAATTAATTCTGGTTTTATTATTCTGAATAAAGCTTACTCCATAGGAGCAAAATATATTGGAGTTGCATAAATTCCAAAAACGATGAAGGAACCAAGCTCTGCAATAATACCCTTCATTGTCTCATTCCTCTGGCTCTGCAGTACAGTTCATTCTATCATTCCTTTCTGTGCTAGTCTTGATCCACCAGTAAAGACGATACCAACATCATGAACTAAAAAAACTAAATAACGCAGAGCAATCACCAAAGTATAAAAAATAATCAAGCAATACAAAGTACTAAAAAAAAAAAAAGTAAAAAAAGCAGCATAAATTATTACCTATCTTTCATTGAGCAAATGGAGGAACCTTGCAATTGAAGAGCAGCATAGATTATTATTTGGGTAGTTGTTAATTAATTTAGAAAAGTGGAAAGTTTGCTAGTTTAATAAGGGTAAATCAGGAAAAATCTTATTGAAGTATTGTTTCTCTCTCATAATAATGTTATCAAATAAATAAAAAATAAGAATTAATTATAGTTAAACCCATGGACATGTGTCAACTTTTGGGAGAGGTGGTGAGGGTACACCTAGGGTTAAGGTGGTGAGCAAAAATGCACCCCAAATCTAAAACCCCACCCCTCTTTTTTCATTTTATATTTTATTACATATACATATATATATATATATATGACCCAATCAGGACCAAGATTTCAACTTTTATTTCAACTTACATTAGCTCCATTTCTCTCTCTCTACCAGTTTCTTCTTTTTCAGGTTTTGCTTTTATCCGTCACCCAATAACACCTCTGTACAATGGCTCTTTTCTGTTCCCAATCTATTGGTTCATGTTTAACTATTCTTTGCCTGGTTTTGGTCCAATGCCGCTCAGCTTTGATACTGAGCATGAAGAAGCACCACCACAGCTACCACCACCACAGAACAGCTCCAATGTTCCAAACCAACCAAAGCAATTGTGCTTTGTTTGCAGGCACTTGGGTCCAAGATGACGATTACCCAATGTACCAATCTTCTGAGTGTCCATTAATCATAGACCCTGAGTTCAACTGTCAAATGTACGGCCGCCCAGACACCGGCTACCTCAAGTACAGATGGAGACCCCTCAATTGTGAGCTCCCAAGGTAAGCAATTACTTCAAAATGTTGTCTTTGGAAATGGGTTTGTGTTGGTTTTTGTTTTTTATATGGTGGTGACTTTTGGTGTAGCTTGTTGTTCTTGGTAGGTTCAATGGGCTTGAGTTTTTAGACAAAATGAGAGGGAAAACAGTGATGTTTGTAGGTGACTCGCTTGGGAGGAATCAATGGGAGTCTTTGGTTTGCTTGATTTACTCTGCAGCTCCTCAAACCCAGACACAAATGGTCAAGGGAGATCCACTCTCAACATTTAGCTTCTTGGTAAGTCTCTGATTTGTTCCCCCCAAAACTTACTTAACTAAGAATTTCTTTGCTTCATTCTGGGTTTTGGTATTTTGGTTTCTTGAAGCATTGGATTCAATGCCAATGCCCAAATACACACATCAATATGGTTCTGTTCTAAATTTTCAGTAAGCAAAATAGAACAAGAACCACCATAGTTGTGAAAATTAACGGTTATTATTTCTGTGAGAACATATATGGTGTGAGGTTTTACAATTGTTCATACCAATTCCTTTTGTGTGCGGGTTTTGAATTTTATCAAACACTGTTCTGGTCGTAGGAACTAAAAAAAAATAGAAAATCCAGTTCATAAATAAAGAAGCTTTTCTGTTTTTTGCTCACTTTTTAACAATGCTTTGAAATTCGAGTAGTACAAAAGAATCAAATGGGGATACTGTTTTGAGGGACCCTTTGGACCAATTGGTGCTTACAGCAGGACACCACCATCATGTTCTTTGTCTACAAAAAGTCACGAGCTAGGAAATGAGAGCATCATATCAATCCAAACACGGCCTTATTGGGTTTTGCTGCTATACTGCAGGACTACGGTGTGACAATACAATTCTATCGAGCTCCGTATCTGGTCGACATAGATATGATGCAAGGAAAGAGAGTTCTAAGGCTTGAGGACATTTCCGAGAACAGCAAGGCGTGGCGGAACGCCGATGTGCTGTCATTTAACACCGGTCACTGGTGGAGCCACAATGGAGCTCTCCAGGGGTGAGCAAATCTTGTATTTTGTTTATCTCACGGTACTTTGTGCAATTCTAACTTTAGGGTCAAATTGATTGTTTGCATACTAGTAAAATCATCGGTTATTACTTTTGTCACAAGAATATTGACAGTGCCTTTAGAAGTATTTTTGGTAATGTCGGTTGGAAATGGTGAAAAATGCTTTCCGGATTATAGAAGCACTTTTGGAGGAGTAAAAGTGCTTTTGATATTCAATTAAAGAATTAGTGCTTCTTACATATTAATCTACGGCTCAAGATGCATCTCTGAGACCAAAAAGTAACCAAAAGTTGTGTGACGTTTCCTTGTTATCTAAAATGATTTTGAAATTGACAAAAGTACTTGCAAATGTATATGACATGACGATAATGATAATGGGATTGAAATCTTTTTTTTTCTTCTTGGACTTTGGAAACGCGTAGGTGGGATTACATGGAATCAGGAGGAAAATATTACCGAGATATGGATCGATTGGCTGCTTTGGAGAAAGGGATGAGAACATGGGCTAATTGGGTCGACTCAAACATCGACACCGCAAGGACCCGAGTTTTCTTCCTTTCCATATCTCCCACACACTACAAGTGGGTATCTCTCTCTCTCTCTCTCTCTCTCCAATAATTGATTGCGAATTTCGATTTCCAGGCTTAATAGCTATGCGTGTGCTGGGTGCTGCCAGCACCAAGCACCAAAAATTTGCTCCATTTTTAGATGTCTGTTTTGGTTTGCGAGTTGGCCAAGTTGACTCGATCCCTACCCTGAATTTAGGTTGGTCCAAAGCCAATTACAATCAATGGTAAAACCTTTTCAAAGGAACTACCTTTTTAAATATAAAATCACAAAACAAGTAAGCCCCTTTGCTTAGAAAACAATGTATAAATGTTGGAACCAGTAAACAGTGCAGTGTTCGGAGGATTAGGTCAGAGCTTGCACTGGCTTTGTCGGTGGCACTAAACAGGAAACAGTAAACACATGCAATCTTTGAAGAAGACAAAAACTGCTCATGTACCTCTCACCAGAGAAAGTGGACCGCTTTTCTCAAATCTGGGCCTCCCCTATGCGACTGAACAAGCTATAGCCCATAGCCATTTTACATCATTAGTGCTACAGTTCACCTTAGCCCAAGTTACTCTTGTCAAAGGGTAGAGATCAATTAGTGTTGGATACCAATTTATAGTACTTACATTTTAATCGATATTTGATATCGATAAACTTAGTGTATCGGTACCAATTTACAGTACCTAGTTTTTAGTCGATACCCGGTACATTAACGATAAGCGTAATGCATCAGGTACTATAGATTAGTTCTCATATTGTATCAGGAATTGTAAATTGATACCCGGCATCAACCTATCACTTTGCATAGTTAAATCTCATTACGCCACATGATATTAGAGTACCAATTTATACCTAGATCCTGAATTTTTGTACATGGTAACTTATACAACATGCTAAATTGACAGCCCAAATGAATGGAATGGGGGAGCAACTCCTACAACCACCAAGAACTGCTATGGGGAAACAGCACCAATGACAACGAGTGGAGTAACATATCCAGGGACAACATATCCAGACCAAATGAGAGTGGTGGACAATGTGATCAGGGGCATGAGCAACCCTGCATCTTTGCTAGACATCACAATGCTTTCAGAGCTTAGAAAAGATGGGCACCCTTCAATCTACAGTGGGGATTTGAGCCCTCAGCAGAGAGCCAATCCTGACCACTCAGCAGATTGTAGCCACTGGTGCCTTCCTGGACTGCCAGACACTTGGAACCAGCTCTTTTACACAGCTTTGCTCTATTAACAAGTTTATATAGGTTTCTTTTCATATTGTGATACGTTTTATGAGAGGGTGCAAAATTGCAGCTCTTTCCCTTACTTAGTAACCTGTAAAGTAATGCTAAATATATATTGTTAGTGTTAGTGAGGACAAATAAGGTTCTTGTTTCCTCATTAGTTTTCCAGTTGTGGAAGACTCATTAATTTTTTAGATAATGAAGACTCTTTAATTGTTCTACACACAGCTTTGCTCTTCTAATTTTATGTACACTCTAACAAGTTGTAGGCTTATCTTTGTATAAAGAAAAAAAAAGAAAAAAAACTTATGGGCTTATAGCTAGCTTTCATCTTGTGATACATTCATGCAATCCGTAAATGCAAATGCATTGTTAGTTTTTGTGAGGAAAAAAAAAGATTTTTATTTCCTCATTATTTGAGGTTTGCTACCCATCCTTTGTGGTTGGGGGACCCTACTAGCTCCGAGGGCAAGGGTTGTGCTTTGTGCGACTTTACCACCAAGATCAAGGTTTAGGTGAACATCCCAAGATCACTATGCCTCATATGAGAAGGTTTCAATCAAACAATTGATCACTTTAATGCTCTACTTAGTTACAAGCTTACGTTATTAGGCTTGGCTTATTTCCTCATCATTTAATCATGTAAGATTCCGTTCTTAAAAAAACATCATGGTAAGGTTACTTTTAAAAAATATATATATATAATCAAAAGAAAATTAAATTCATAATTCAATCACACAGAACAATAGTCACACGAGTCCATACAATGAGGGGAGGTACGTCAACAATGTCAAGAAAACAATATTAATAATTTTATTTTTGCTAGTGAACCCTCCTCAATTATCATTGCAATTATTTAAGCTATAAATGAGTTTTCGACCATTTAAAATTTGTCTAAATTAACAAAAGCCATCCAATTACAAGATCCTTCAAGGAAACACTAAATTTTGATGTCATTAGCGTACTTAAATAGATTTCAAGCACTTACTAACAACAAAGTGGCTGTAGTTTAGTGGTAAGAATTCCACGTTGTGGCCGTGGAGACCTGGGCTCGAATCCCAGCAGCCACACTTTGTACTCTCTTTTGCAGCCTCACTTTGTACTGTTTTTGCGACACATTTTGTTAGGGCTGATTAGGAGTACTTTTGGTATGACCAAAAGCGTTTATAATTGTGTTCGGCAAAAAAATTCAAAAGCTCTTATGGATTATGAAAGTGGTTTTTTGAAAAGCATATGCTAGGCACTTCCAAAAATTTCAACATTCTTCTAATAAAAGCGATTATATTCAAAAGTGTTTTCTACATAAGTAGTCTCAGACGAATCCTTAATTTTTGGATGAGACTTTCAAATTCTAACTAAGGCCTACAGTTCAGTAGGCAAAGCCCCTCAGCCCATGGTGAATTGGGTCAATCTTCCTTTGCCCTGTTAGTCTAATTGGGCTACAGTAGTCTCTGCAATTGCCAACCTGGGCCATTGGAGACTCTTTGAAAAGCTATGATCCTTAATACTTGTGTTTATCCAAACAAATTCATGGCCAGAAATTCACCGTTTTTCTGGATCAACCTCTCCAAGTCCTTGGCCAAAAATAAACCCTCTTCAATCTCCTAGAAAAATTATTATAGATGGCAAATTTATTGGATGGAACAAGAAAGACACCATATCTTAAGACTCATTGTCTCATTTATTCAAAGTGAAAAAGGATCATTGAAGACAGAGAAAGAAAATTACAGAGAGATTCTAAACTTAAAAACATCTCCAATATATAGATAGCACACTTCAAAATGTTGTATTAGAAAAGTACAACAGTTTGATGATAAACACAATATCTTCAAAACCACCAGGTGGTCTTCCTTCAACTTTACATATTGCCCTATTACTTTTTATACATTAAGGCATCGCAAAGTCTCTTCATTCTGTGATTTCTACCCTTAGTCTTGCAGAAGTTATTAGATATCCCCCTGCAGGGCATTGTTATTATTAGCTGAGAATCGCGACCCCGGGAGTGCTCACTTTCATCTGAGGTACATTGTCGATGATCTCCGGAGGCACAATGCTGCTAGTCACAGGTGCAGCCTGCTTGTCATAAGCTTGTTGATGCACTTCAAATATAGCCCTACCAGATGGGTCAAGATTTTTGGACCATTCAGCATCCCAAGCCACAGCTGTGGCTGTGCTGCAGGCCACACTTGGTCCCCCAGGTACTGTGTTCCGGGCTGAGTTCTGCAAAACCAGATAATAAGTACAGCAAGTTAGGACTATGAACGAGAGTTTGTTGTGTTGTTAGAGTTAAAGGCAAAAAAGCATACACGAAAAAAATAAATCATGATGTACTGCTTATGAATCATGAAATTTTGTAGCAGACTACCTGTGGGAAGAACCTCTCGAAAATCATTCGGTAGTAGTAGGCTTCCTTTGTAGTGGGAGTGTTGTGCGGGAAGATTCGTGCAGCATTCAGCATCATCTTATCAGTCACCTGAAAGTGTTAAGTTGAGCTTCAATCATCAGCCTTTATGAAAATGAAAAATACCAACAAAAATTGTAAAAAAGGTTGGATAGATGTGTACATGGAGAGCAGCATGGGATTTCAGGCCATCAATCCAACTATAGCCGACACCATCACTGAACTGTTCTTTCTGCCTGTACAGAATGTGCTGCAAAGCATTAAACAGGATTTGTTAGCTTTGGAATCGATGTGAGACGGATGTTAGGGGCAGTAACTTATCATCAATACTTATTACCAAAGAAAGACACAAGAGCATATACCTTTGGCAGATAAGGATGCTCCTCATCATCGAAGGCCTTCCGGAGGACCCATTTCTCAATTCTTCCTTGGTCCTTTTTGATCTATAACCAATTAAAAATATAGCGAAAAGCCAAGTGATCAGTATTGAACTCTAAAATTTAACTTCTGCTGTAAATCGAAAGCAATCCCAATATCTTAGAGTCTTATTTCTTACCAGTTTAAACTCAGGATCAATAGCCATTGCAACGTTGATGAAGTCTTTGTCCAGGAAAGGGACACGAGCTTCTAATCCCCAAGCAGATGTTGATTTGTTTGCCCTGAGGCAATCATACTGGTGCAGTGCCTTAATCTACATCAAACAAAAGAACAACTCCTTATTATGCCTTTCCTTCCAACCCCTATATCTATCTTCAATGTAAATAAGCAACTAATCCATTACCTTTCTGCAAGTTTCGCGGTGAAACTCTTCCTTGTTGGGTGCCTTGTGGAAGTACAAGTATCCACCAAAAATCTCATCGGATCCCTCACCAGAAATCACCATCTTAACCCCCAAAGACTTAATCTTACGGGACATAAGAAACATAGGGGTGCTAGCTCGAATAGTCGTAACATCATAAGTTTCAATGTGGTAAATAACATCCTCTATTGCATCAATACCGTCCTGTTACATGCCAAATGCAAATGGTTTACTATTTCGGCTAACTAAAAAGATAGCAGCAAACTCTTTAGCTTAAACAGGTTTTTGTATCGATACCTGAACAGTGAAATGAAACTCGTGGTGAACGGTTCCCAAATAGTCTGCAACTTCTTTTGCAGCCTTCAAATCAGGCGAACCCTGCTCAGCATATGAAGACACCAGGTTAGGAATCTATAAGCTCCCATGAGCCATACGTTAAATCTTTGTCGAAAGATTTAAAAACTCACCTCTAGTCCAACACAGAACGAATGGAGCTGTGCTCCCCATTGCTTGGCCGCCTTCGTGCCCGCCAAGTGGCGAGCCGTGATAGAGGCGACCAAAGATGAATCTAGGCCTCCAGAGAGAAGAACTCCAAAAGGTACATCAGTCATTAGCCTTTTGATCACAGCCTGCAGGTATCACACTCAACACATAAGCTACAACTACAAATAAACTCTGATATGTATGTGAAATAAGAGTAATCCATCTGAGTTCGAAAATGATGAAATTTTTACAGTTTCGAAGGCACTTCTGAGAGCAAGCGGATCATATGGCGCAGACGGAATGGCCTCTGAGAACCAAGTAGGATTGTACCATCTCTTGAGTGCACCTTCTTTGCTTGAGTACAGATGACCGGGCGGGAAGCTCTCAAAGTGTTCACAATCATCGTTCAATCCTTTCAGTTCTGATGCTATCCAAACTGAGCCTGAATTTAAACCAAATATGCTAACTTAGCATCACATACATATTCAAGTCAAAAACTAAAGCACGAATTGCAGACAAAACAGGGGTTGCTAGAGAAATGTTACCATCAAGACTCCAGCCGATGTAGAGGGAAGTGATCCCGATCGCATCGCGAGCAACGATGAAGCTGTTGTCGCGGGTATCCAGTAGCACAAAAGAAAACATTCCATCCAGCATATCCACAAAATTCTCCCCATACTCTTCATACTACTCACAAGAGATTAAAGACAAACAGTTAAGTGCAGGCAAAGTCCATGATCCATCAAATAACATATTCAACATCTCCTACTTCGATTGATCAAATTGACTTATTACTCATCCAAAATATTTAATCATCATGCTTAATTCTTATAGATACAAAATTTTCTTCTTCTTTTTTGTTTTCAACCAAGTTGGTAAGTGACATACCAGATGAGCAATGACATCACAATCACTGCCAGTTCTGAACTTGTGATTCGGCAGACGCTTCCTCAACTCTTCATGGTTGTAAATCTCTCCATTCACCTGATTCATCAGCAATTGAATTTTTCATTTTCCCACAAAATTAAAATTTCTAGTTTACAAAGCCAAAAACCAAAAACAAAAAATTCAGAATTCTGTGAATAATAATAATTGTTAGGCCCTGTCACATGGCTTACCGTGACAACAATTGACTTGTCTTCATTGTACAGAGGTTGATCCCCAGAAGCAGGGTCAATGATTGCCAGCCTCTGATGAGCCAAGAAACAATCTCCATGCTGGTAAAGACCACTCCAATCAGGACCACGATGCTTCAATCTGAAAAAAAACCCCCAAAAAAAAACTACGTTATTTCAATTTTCAGCTCTGTTTTTGTCTAATCATGGTACCACTACCATACAAAACGGACCCCAACACCCCATTCATTTCATGAAAGGTGACATCATTTATGGGACCACAACGTCACAAGGGTCAGAATCATTAAACGTTTGATTTGAACAAACACTAGTTTCTTTGCAAACCAAACCACAGTTACCATAATTCAATCATGATCAAAAGCTCAAATTCTTATGATATTTCTTATAAAAATGTTCAAAAACAAGTAAGGACTTATAGCTCAAGTCATTAAAAACAGATAAACCTCCATCTGAGGCCCTAAGTTCAAGTCTCATTTTCCAATATCGCTTGTATCAGAAAAAAGATATGTGCAACAACAAAAAATAAAAATTCTAGAGGTATGCATGTGCTACTTAACTAAAACCAACTAATAATTATGAATTATAATACTCAAAAAATAATTATATAAAATATTGAATTAAATAAGGAAATTAGGAAATTTGCCTGCGAGAAAGCTCAAGGACTCGGACCCTCTTGGCCTGAGAGTCATCAGAGCAACCAAGAACAGCAAGAATTCCACACATTATATATGTTAAATTCGGAAAAAACCCAGAAACCAGAAAAGGGAGCAAGAAACAAAACCAAAGAAGAAGGAAAAGTAAATGAGTTCGGTTTATTTTTTTGAAACCGAGGGAACCCAGAAATTAGGAGGAGAATGAATGAAGAGAGAAGAGAAAGCCTCTGGTGTTTCTGGTGGCGTTGCAGTGGAAGTAGGACGCAGCAACACGTATTTTTTTTTTTTTTTTTTTGTGCTAGGACAAAACACGTAAACACAAACGTTGTTTGAAGGAGTAAATACCTCCGCATCCCGGGCCACGTATTTATAGGAAGCTCTCAGTCCGTGGGGCCCACCCAGCACCTAAGCGGCGACGTTTCTATTCATTTCACGCTTCGATACTCTATTAATTTTTCTTTTTCCTTCTATTTTATCTAGTGTTTACCGTCCTCCATTGGCTCATCCCAGAACTCCCGGACCCACCGCCGCTGTCCTCTCCGTGAGTGCCACGTGGTGTCATGTGGTTCCCTGTTGGTTGTCCCTTCTTATTTATTTTTTGTTTTTCTCTTTTTAATCTCCAATTTTCGCGCTGAGGTTTATCCACTTCCTTTTTCTTCCAAGTCTTTGTGGGCGCCCAGCACACAGTCAGCTTTTTACCACAAGTCCACATCAATGTACTTCCTTTTTCAACCGTCCACGTGTCCATTAGTATGATGCCTGGCCCCCTAGCTGACGTGGCTTTGATTGGGGATATTTGGCATATATTTTTTTTTAATTTCTATTTTTTGGGACCTTTCATATTGAAAAATACGATAATATACTAAATTTACACACACTACACGGATGTTAAGACTCGAACACAGAATCTTACCTGAGAAAATAATTACTCCAAATCACTACGCTAATAGGCCATTTATTTTCTTTTTCTTTTTTATAAATCGGTGAGTTTTGGTGGAAATATATAATTGCTCTGACTTATGAGGACCCAACTCAAAAGGAGAGGGAAAAAAAAAGTGTAGAACAAGAAAATCCGATCGCTTATCCTTTTGGCCATGCCTCCCACGTCGCCATGTCAAGTACATCATGGTTCATGACCAAAGAAAATAGATAATATGTTGCAACTATTTGTTAAAAATTCCATTATAAAGTTAACTTCATTATAAAAAAATTATTTATTCATCATATCCATTTATCCATTTATCCATTTATATATAATAATAATAAAAAAGAATTATAGGCCAAAAGGGTTGGTCACATGTACTTTGTTTTTTGTTATTTTCCATCTATAGATTTTTTTTTAAAGACTTTTTTTGTATATCAATATCTTTTTTCGATAAGGTTTATCAATCGGTTGGCCTATTTGTCAAGGAAAAAAAAGACAAAGACTGCATTTGTCCCTCTCACTATTTTTGTAATAAATTGATATTCGGTTATGTTTTTTCTAGTCATTCTTGTTATACTCTTTGTTAACAACCATTCTCTTTTGTTCTATTAGTATGAGTAGAATAATACCAAATTTACATACGCGCATAGCTTGTGTCATACAATCACAAGCCATTGATAGGCCTGAAGCGGCCTTGATTCCTCTCCATCATCTAAACTCATTTACCGTCTATAGACTACGTACGACCATAAAACTCCACTCCTACTACTGTAAACAATTGTCTATATAGTACAAATAAGAGTGACTAATCGATGTGTCATTAGTTTGGGACCAAAACTTTTTGACATAAGATAAACCAACAATTTGGTACTGAAAATTGACGGACCAAAAAGATGAGCTTAACCTAATTAAGCTAAGCTGGAAAATTTCTTTCTTTCTTTCTTTCTTTCTTTCTTTATTTTATAAAGAGACATGTGTACCATGTGAGGAGAGTAGAGAGACAAGAAAAGAAAAGTTATTTTTGGATAGACTTATATCGGTGGCAAAATTGTATGCATGTGTTAGTTCTCTGTAATTCCACGATAAACAAAGATATCATGAGCAAGTGTGGTTCCTAGCAATTCATCATGGACACCATGGGTATTTTGTTGTTCTTCTTTCTTTTCTCAATCAACAACATGGGCACCATGATCGGGATTGGAAACTGAGGCCCACTTGTAAAAGTATGGTAAATAGCCAATTTTATACGTAATACAAACCAATAATTCTGAGCTAATTTACTACTAATGACAAATTTTCAGGGATATCTAGAGATAAGTGGGCTAATCAACAAAAACACACCAATCTATAATTAGTCGATGATTGGTGTTAAAAGAATAAGAAACTAATCCATGTCACCTAACACAATGGTAGCTATAATTAAATTCAAGCCTGGCAACCAGTCCCACCAAACCAAAAATTAATTGCTTAAGTCCTTATGATAGTTAGTGGAATTTTAGTAGAAAAAAATAATAATAATAAAGTCCTTGGCATAATGGAGACAAGGATATTGAATATATTGTATTTCCACTTCATTAATTTTAATAATCACATCGAATCAGTTAATATGTATTTTTTGAGAAGCGAATGGAGATACTTGGTAGCACAATATACTTTATATATAAACCCTGCCTTTTTGAAGATTTATTTGACTGGGATTAAGTTTTACATCCCCATTATACTTATATGCTTAGTTAAATAAAATTTTCCAACGTACCATTGAGTTTTCTATTAATAAAAAAAAAGTTTCATATATCATGTTTTATGGACAAATGCATCATACCCAAAGAAAAATAAACATATCAAAGTCGATCTGTGGTTTTCCCTATATATATATATGTATATATATATATATATATATATAAAGCAAAAGGCAGAGTTTATATATAAAGTAAAAGGTAGAGAATGGTAAAACATTTAAAATACCAAAAAAATGTCATTGGTTAATGCAAACATTAAGAATTGAAATTATTAATTAAATGAGGATAATATGGTAAATTCACACTTTTTTATATTAAAAAAAAATTCAGATAATAGATCCTATTTTTATGAAACACAACTACCCATTATATTTTTTAATTCTAAATTAAATTAAAAAAATTATTGAGAAAAACCTCTCTCATACGTGAAAGTGCATGCGGAGAGGCTAGTATATCTATATATATAAAGCAAAAGGTAGAGAATTGTGAAACATTCAAAATACCAAAAAATGTCATTGGTTAATTCAAACATTAAGAATTTAAATTATTAATTACATGAGGATAATATGGTAAATTTAAATTTTTATATATTAAAAAAATTAAAATTAAAAACAAAATCAGATAATAGGTCATACTTTTATGAAATATAACTACCAATGTTATCTTTTTTTAATTTTAAAAATAAAAGAAAAAGGAAAACCAATTGACACATGCGTGAGCATGTGCCAAGGGGCTAGTATTATAGAAAAGAAAATTCTTTGGTTTCTTTGGACCATCTGAAAAAAAATCTAGGCTTTTTTTGTGGAAAAGGAAAAATAACGGAAGGCTAGGTATGTGATCGACATGTCATGCTTGCATGGATATATAAGACAGATAACCTATTGCATATCTGTAATGTCCCTTTCTTTGGAAAGTTCAATTTTCAAATTTCTTGGAGGAGTTTTTTATTTTATTCTATTTTTTTATTTGTGGGTATACAATTTCTTAGAGGGTTCATTGATCCGCATATAAGGGTACATGCATCCGTTGAAATTCCTTTATTCTTCAAAATAATATATATACCTGTACATACCTGGTTTCTTATAAAAGGGTTTATCGATCCAATTTTAAATATATATAATAACAAAATTTTCTTTGGTTGGTGAATATATTATATTAACACTTTTTTTCTGAAGAATTGGAAGTTCAAATTAAATGAGAACACATCATATCTCCTTTTTTTTTTGGTTAGGTTATTGCATAACAAAATTGAATATGAATAAGCCATTTGTGTATTTATAGGTAACTAACTAGCTGTTTGAAAATGGAACTAGCCATTTGTGTTTTTGAAAAGTGAAATAAATTACCTCTCTCTTATTGTACATGTGTCAATAAGAGAGAGGCTGTAGAGTTATTATGGTGGGTCAGCTTATTGAAATGAATTTCATTTCAAACTTCATTTTATTAATCTATGAAATGAACAATCGATCTCTAAAATGAACTATTGATCCCTGAAATGAAATATCGATATCTGAAATGAATTGAACTTTACCTATGCAAGTCAAAAATTCAATTTATTGATATAAAATTGAAATGACCCTTACTAATGTTGATGCACTAGTATATAAATGAATGATAATGAGGTTTTTAATTAATAACTTTAACCAGCATACCCATTAAAAAATTCATAGTTACGGCATTGGCTATATTCTCTTGATTCCAACTTTGAACGAACTTGAAGTGTCCAATTTATTTGATAAATAAAAATAAAAATCGTTGTCTTTGGTAAAAGCAACATTTATGAGAAGGAAAAAAAAAAGTTAATATGCCAAAATTTCGACTTCTAAAGGGCACTTGAGCTTTCTCTCCGGCTTTTGGATAATGGATAAGCCATGCTTTTCTATGCTGGCTCATTTTAACACCAGACAAATTCTGGTGTGCCTCTTTTACCATCTCCTTCAATTAATGATGGCCTTTAAAGGGTACTGAAGAGTGATACATTTTTGAGAGATTCACTAATATACCCAATATGGGGCCCAAATTATAAAAATACCTCATATGAAATGAACTTTATAAACACACCCAAAACTCATTTACAACATAACAAAGAGGCTTTAACTTCTTATAAATTACAAAACTACCATAAATTTCTT